TATGTTAGACGCTTTCTCTTTATATGTCGATTGTTCTGCCACGAAGTTGTGTCCAGCTCTTTGCGACCCCACGAACTACAGCACACCCAGCTTCCCTGTCCTTCACTAGCTCCCACAGTTTGCTCAAGTGCAAGTCTGCTGAGTCAGTCTAGTAGGTCAAGTTTATTATTTGCATTCTAATTTTCTACAACATTTTTAGTTTTGTTTGTCTGCTTATTCTGCCAATCCCTGAAAAATATTTGTTAAATTCTCCCACTATCACTGTGGACATTTCTATTTCTCACTGTACTTTGGTTAATCTTTGCTTTATATATTATGAAGCCATTTTACTAATGCACACAAACAAAAATTTTTCATCTTTTTGTTTTAGAGTTTATTTCATGTAATTTTTCAGTATTTATTTTTATTTATTTATTCGCCTGTGCTGAGTCTTAGTTGCAGCATACGAGATCAATGATCTTTTTCACAGCATGAGAACTCTTAACTGTAGCATGTGAGATCTAGTTCCCTGGCCAGGGATCAAACCCAGGCACACTGCACTAGAAGCATAGAGTCTTAGCCACTGGACTACTAGGGAAGTCCCTATTTCATGTAATATTAATCTATCTACAACAGCTTTTCTTTGGTTAGTAGACTATATTCTTTTACTTTCAAATTTTCTGTATCTTTATGCTTTATCTCTCTCTTATAAAACACCATACAGTGTTTTTTTTTCTTTTGTTTACTCTTACCTGACAATCTTTTATCTATTTACATGTAATGAAGTTGCTGACATATTTATCATCATTTATCCTATCTGCCCTAGTGTTATAAGTACCTTCCCTCCTTTCTTGCCATCTAGACTATTTTTTTATTAGTCATTTTTCCCCTATAATTTAAAGATTACACACTTTAAAAAAAAAAAACTCTTTCTTCTTGAAAATTACTCTGCATATTACACCATGCATCTCTTACTTATCAAAATATAATGTTAACAGGTACTTCCCCCCAGCTTCCCCAGATAATATAAGTCCTCACACACTTTAATTCTATCCCACTGCCAACTACTACTGTCATATATTTAAACTGTCTTTTAAATTCAGTAAAACATTATTATCATTGTTTAATAAGGTCTACATTCATTTTATTTACCCATTTACGTATTTTCTACTATTCTCGTTATTTCTTCCTGACTCTCCAAGCTTCCATCTGGTATTTGCCTTCTGTTCGAGTAATATTCTTTAGAATTTCATTTAGTGTGGGTCTCCTGGTATTTCTTTTAGTATAGCTTTTACAGGGAGGAATACCTGAAAAGCGCTTATTTCTTCATTTTTAAAGGCTATTTCTGCTAGGTATAGAATTCTAGGTGTAGCAATTATTATCTTTCAGTGCTTTGAATATGTTAGTCCATGGTTTCCTCCTTCCATTGTTTCCATTAAGAATATACTGTCAGTTTAACTGTTCTCTTTTGAAAGCAATCTTTTTTTTCCCCTGGTCCAATTAAGATTTTTTTCTTTGTCTTTCATCTGAAGCACTTTTACTGTGATGCACTTAGATATTATTTTCTTTGTATTCATTCTGCTTTGGTTTTGGGGACTTCTTCAGTCCATGGCTTAACTAATCAGCACTAAAAACCATTTATCCATTATCTCCTCCAATACTGGTTGTACCCCATCCTCTCTCTCTCCTAAGATTGATTCCAAACACACAGTTGATACCTGTTCACTGTGTCTTCCATGCCTCTTATACTTTTTCTGAGTATTTTACTCTTTCTCTTTGTGACGTATTCTAGGTTGTTCCCTCTGACCTATATTCTAGTTCATTTATTCTCTGTTTAGCTTTATTGAGTCTTCTATTAATTCATCTGTTAAGTTTTTTTATTTTTCATTCTTGGAATTTTCTTTTGGTGCTTTATCAGCTCTGCTCCATTGCTTTTTTATAATTCACAGTTCTCTGCCAAAATTTTTAATTCAGTCTTTTACATTCTTGAACATAGTTAGCATTGTTTAATTTTTTAGCACAGTTATTTTAAAGCTTGGTCTGATAAAGCTAACATCTGAAGAACTTACGGGACTGTTTTTATTTCTCACTCTTTCTGCTCATTTTCATTCGTGTTGTTATGTCCTCTCATATATCTACTTATTTTTGGTTGTGAGCCATGTATTATATTTGAAAAACTTCAGTAGTTTAAGGTTCTATATAATGCTATCTTAGTCTGAAAAGGTTTGCTTTTGCCAGATGCTTGGGACTACCTTATTTAAATTTCAGAGACTGAAATAATCGAGGATAGTCCCTTTCATGGAATTATATTTCTAGTTCATCCTTACTCTTATAATAGATACATGCTTTAGGGGCCCAAAACCAATGAGCAGAAGTTTAGCTGCACTCTATCCATTTTTGACAAGTCATCAACTCCCAACTTTCTTAGCTTCTATCAAGAGGGCTGGTCAATCTCTTAGCCCTCTCTTTTGAAATTCATGAATGTGTTTAGGAGAAAATTAGTCCCAAATGTTACCAAATGTCTTACCTCTCTGGGTGTATGCTTTTCCCCAGATCTCTACTTGGTAATTTTTTTTCACTTCCTTGGCTTTCTGAATGCCCTGAAGCAACTTTTTAAAATATTTTGTCTAGCTTTTCTACTTGTCTTAAGAGTCAGGCTTGGTTTGAACTGTCTGGCATTATTAAAGCAAAAATTCTTAGCTTTTATATCACTTGGATAAAACCAAAATTGTAATTTTAGTGTGGTTTCAGGAAGGAGAGGATTTAGAAGTATGTTCAATTCGCCAGCTTAACCTAAAATGTTATTCTTCATCTCCCTTCAGAAAAAAAATTTTTTAAAGCCTCTATCAGTTTATAGCCACACACTTTGTTAAAGAAAAAGGAAATTAGAAGATTCTATACATTTACTTTTGTATTTAATATCTAGCACACTTTCCGTATCAGCACCAATAGCTCTATTTCATTTTTTCACTTTTTAATGGCTGTACTTCATACTATTCAATCTAACTCAACAAATATTTACCTACTATGCTCATTCACCTACTATACTTGGTTTTGAGGTGATAATGGTAAGCAAAAACTAATTTTGTCCTCATCACTCAAGTCCCTGTTGAGTGACTTGTAACAATATATATATATTAACAGTATAAATAAATGCAAAATTGTAACTGTATCAAATGCTAAGAAGTTAGCACCATTGATGTGAGAACAGGTCAGGTGTGTTGGGTCTAGGCTGGGAGATCAGAAATACCTTCCATGATGAAGTGGCAATAAGTTGAATAGGAACTAACTAGAAGAGAACTGGGAAGGAAAGGCGGCTTACAGCAAGGAAATAATCTAACTCCATGTTGACAATCTACCATATGAATATATCATAATTGACTTATCCTGCTCTCCTCTGAGGGATATTGTGACATTTAAATCTTTTGCTACTATATATGATAGTTTGATAAATATCCCCATATATAAGTTTTGGTATAATTTAGGAATCTTATCCTTATGATACATATAATATAGCATTACAAGGATACATATAATAGCGTTAATACATACAAGAGAGTTCACTATAATTTCCACTTAGATTAAAATATAAAATTTGCTAGATCTATTTCCTACATATTTCATTCTTTCCTAACTTGAATTCTTTGTTTTAATTTTCACTTGGCTGCACTATTTTCACAAGAACTGGTTCCCTGCAGTGATCTCCTATCCCATTCATAAAGGTAAACATAGTTATGCTCCATCTGCTCTGCACCTTCAACGTTGAATCTGAAGCATAAGTATGTACAGGACTTTCGTCTATATTCTCAAAGTAAGCTGGGCTTTCTGCACAACACAGATACTTCATCATAACAGCTGAGTGAATCACCTTAGTATAAGCTTGGAGAGAATGAGGCAGTCAAGAGGTTTATGCTAAGGTGCCGCCATCTTTTCAGAATCTCCTGCATTCTCAGATGAGTTAGGATCTGGCTTTAAAATCAAACCTCCCACAAAATACTAGAAAAAAAAAAAAATACTTGGCTACATAAACAAAATGTAACTATATAAAAATCTCTCAGGCCAATAAGAAGAAAAACAAACAAGCACATAACTACAAAAGTGGGAAAAATGCATGAATTGACAACTCACAAAAACTAAATAAAGGAGGTCAGTAAGCACAAGAAAAAAAATGCTCATTAGTCATCATAAAAGTAGAATTTTAAATTAAAAAACCACAAGACTATAAAAATTATAATAAGTAGTATTTAAGAGAGCACTGTGACCTACATGTTGCACATGACAAATGTGAACTGTTAACAGCCCTTCCAGGTGATCTGTGTCTAAATTAAAATTGTAAGTACTGACTGACACAGATTTTCAATTTCTAGAAATCTATCCTATGGAAATAATCAAGAAAGTATTATTTTTCATTTCCTAATAGTGCTTTCCTTTCTCTCATACCACATGTCAACATCTGGCTTTATTGTTTGTTTTTCCCACTGCTAGAATACAAGCTTATTGAGAGCAAGGACCTATATAGTTCTTGGCACATATAAGGAATATAATAAATGTTGATTGTTGAACAGAATATGCAAGGATTTATCTATAAAAATTTTCAAAACTGTGGAGTTGTAAAAGAAAAAAGTTGGAAAAAATTCAAAATCCATCAGCAGAGGATTGGTTAAAACAAACAATAACCAACATGGACAACTATGTAGCCATTGAAAATTAGTCTACAAAAATACCAGTAAATGTATGTGATGCTATACATGACTTCATTTTTGTTAAAAAGAAAAAAAGAGGAGAAAAAAGATGCTAATAACAGTATTTATATCACGATGTTAACAGTGGGTATCTATGAGATGGTAGGATTACCGGTAACTTTTTCCCCTTATTTATGGTTTCCTGTATTTTTCAAATTTTATTTTTCTACAACAAACACAATTATTTTTTAATAAGGCAACGAAAATTCTCCAAAACAAACTAAAACGCAAACCAAAAGTTCTTTGTTTCTAGTTCAGAGAAGGAAAAGGCAAGTTTACCTTCAAGTTCATCATCGGAAATCAATTCATCATCAGAGCATATGTTGAGAATGTTAACCAGCATCTCTGTGACTAGATGACAAGACAAAATAGTCCAAAATTTGTATAATTAATAAGGCACTTTCTCTAAAAGGATGTGGATATATAAATAAACATATATATATTAAATAAACACAGATAAAAATGATTGATTGTTTTGCTATTCAGAGTAGCTTAAGGAGCAGCATTAATGCAGACCCTCAAGTTTATACGGATTTGGGGGAAGATTACTTGTTCCAGTTAAAGCACAGAGTCTTTGAAGATTCTAATGCTTAACAACTTGATTTCATTTTAGACTGCTGCCAGTTTAGACCTTTCTACACTGATACACACAGGAGAAGACTTCCTCCCGTTTTACAAAGCAAGTAAGCCACCAGGCCGATGTACGGCAGACTCACAGGTTTGCACAGCTCATCTGCTCGTGCTCAGTCATTCCTGTCCGACTCTTTGTGACCCCATGGGCTGTAGCCCTCCAGATGCCTCTGTCCATGGAATTTTCCAGGCAGGAATACTGGAGCGGGTTGCCATTTCCTTCTCCAGGGATCTTCCTGACCCAGGGATCGCACCTGCATCTCCTGCATTGGCAGGAGGATTCTTAACCACTGTGCCACCTGGGAAGCTTATTTGTATAGATGCACAAATAGAATTCTAAGGATAAATCTTCCCATTTAAGTCTCTTTATCACAGAAGGAAAGGTTATTTTTATTGTTACTTGTTATTCTAACATCTTGATCATACAAGGTATCAATTTTAAATTGATACTTGGAAAAAGAAAATCACAATCAACTTTTCCTTTGATGGCAAACATTTCTCATTAAATGAACACAGCCTGTTTTCCTAGTCATTAGCCAGGGCCAAAGATTTTATAAACTCTCTAGGAGTTTATAACATAGCAGTTATTAATTCATAGTGGGGAATGCAAATAGATGGTAAACTTGGAGCAATTTAACAAGGTTCCAAGTAGATTAAATCACTTCTGCACACAATATGTGAATAATACAATATGTGAATAAAAATTGTCCATCTCTCCTATACACAGTCAGTATACTGCTCACACTTTAAATGTTTAATATTAACCGGTTCATATACATATATTGCACACACACATACTTTGGTACCAAATTGATTCTCTTTATACTTAAAATTTAAAAAAAAATCCATTCCCTTAGTTTGCATCACCAGCAATGCAATGTGGTTTGCATTATTCTCTTAAATTATTCTTAATGTGATCATAAATAGAATAGGGTAAAATAGTTCTCTAGAAATGACAGGTATAGGTCATTTCCTGATCCCTGTCTCTTTGCTTATTATAGATACTCTAGTATTCTCAAATTTTTAAGTCACTGAATATTTAAAGTGTTTACCATAGATTATTAAATAAATATATGAAAACAGGATTTTCAGCTTTTAAGAAGCTTCTAATACTGGTTGCAATGTACATGTCCCATTATTTTCACGTATATGTATTTTATTTAAGTTAGACGAATATATAAATATTCAACAATTCCCTCAATCTACACAAGAAAAAGAGATGGAAGGTGGACACAAAAATAGAAAGAGATCTTTAAAAATCATGACTTAAAGGTCTTTCATGTAACCAGTAGAACTACTGATAAAAAATGTCTGTTTGTACCAATAAGTCTAAAGAATATGCAAGAAAGAAAAGTGATAGGAAAAGAAGGAGGAAAGAGGGACAGAGTCATCTTTTTCAACAGGAATAATGAAGCATCACCAGAGATTATTTTAGATGCCACATTTTCTTCCTTCCCGATCCCCCCTAAAAAGATTAAGAAATGACCAAGGAAAACAAGATTGTCACAAGGTAAAGGATGTTACCAATTAAGTCAAGGCCGACAAAAAACTCAGAATCAACTGTGACTCTAAAATAGTTTACTGATGGAATGATCAAAACAAGACCAGATTAGAATGAGGCAAAGAACAAACTGGCAGTTAGTTAAGCTAGTAAAGTGATTGCTGATTTAGATGACATGTTTTAGCTTAGCACACTGATAAATCCACCGGCCAATCAATAGACACTTTAATAGTAAGGTTAATGAAGGGAGTAAGAAGGGAAAGTCTTCATCACAGATATGAGGGTGAGGGACAGACTGTCCTTGAGGAAGTCTGACAACATGAGTGGCACATACAATTCATAAGGGAGGAAACAAAAACAAAACTAAGTTTCTACTAGGAAAAGGGAAATAAGAAAGAATGGACTTAGGGAGAAGCAGAGTACTGAAGGATAGCCAAGACTCAGAAAAGAATGATGAGAAGGAAAGCAAAAATAGAAGACTGGAAGAGAATTTAAGTCAAAGAAATGCCTTTTAATAATGGACAGCATGTCACTAAGGACATCCAGAGATAACTGATCCAAATCAGGCTGAAATGAGACGTGCCATTTCATAGTTGACTTTGAAATAGAGGAAATAAGTATACCATGGACCTCTTTTACACTTCTCTCCCCGACTGCATATACAAGATATGACTATAAAGTAATGAGACTTAAGAAACCATCAACAACAAACACACCAGACCTTATATATCAGATGAGTGTGGTCCGTTGATGTAATCACACCAGGCACAGTAACAGTAGGATGTTATAGCAGTGTAGCAATTTATAGTCTGACCAATGCTTTTAATATTCATTTTGATTACTCCAACTTATCTTCAACAAGCCTATGTAACAGTCATGTAACATCAACTGAGGCTCAGAGAAGTTCAGTATCTTGTTAATTGTGAATTTAAAAGTGAAACAGGACTAGACTAGGATTTTTGCCTCCTAGCTCTCAATGTTCTTATCAATGTACCCTGCTGCCTTACCGTGTGTTTAATCCAAAGATGCTGCCATTACTCAAAATGTTTTTGGAACTCTTCTTTTGGAATTACCTCCAGAGCCATTTTATAAGCAACACAAGGAAAACCAGTCTCATTACCTTATAATCATACCTTGTTCCTGACCCCAAATGGTATCGTCTAGCTTGATCACTCACCTGAGTCCTCAGTCTTGACTCCGAATGACTTTTGGCTGTTCCAAAAATCAAATCCACCCTCAAAGGACGAAGATTTCCCATCATTGAGGATAATCAAAAGAATGTGTCGCAGACTCTGAAGGCAATGCCAAAAGAGGAGTTCCAAAAATGTTTTGAACAATGGCAGCATTGTTGGAATAAGGGTATAAGCTCCCAAGGTAACTACTTTGAAGGGACCATACTCACTTGGATATATTTGTTCTGGCATGTTTGGTTAAAAGTTCTATTTTTTTTTTAAAGTTCTATTATTTTATAGTCATACTTTATCAACAACAAAACAGTTACAGAAGCATGTTACAGAAGAGGCTTTTAGGTAGAAGATTGTCCTGATACAAACTGATCAACTAGGGATCATAAAAGTTAAATTTTTTTAAAAAAATGACTAAGACTACAAGAAAGTCTTAAAAGTAGAATTTCTGGATCAAAAGGCAAGTGTATATCCAAATCTCTTTTTTTTTATATGGGAAACTGAGGTTAAGAAAGCTATGTGACTTCCTAAAGTCACACTATTAGTTTTGAGCAGGGCTTGGACTAAATGAAGATTTTTCTGACTTTGGGTACAGTATTCATTCTAATTGTATCATTTTTCAAGAGCAAAAACAGCTTGATAATAGACATTAAAACACTAAATAGCGACATTTTATTGAGGGACAGTTATAAATAAATTAGATTCACCAAAACCAATAATTTATGCTGTTTTAACTTCAACCTGAAGTAATTTATTTCTTCTTATTTTGATTCGATGGTGCAAGTCAAACCTACTGTAATCATTACTTATAATCACAGAGTCCCCAAATCCTTAGGAGATGAAAACTAAACAGAAGCCTAAATTCTAAGTTTCTTGGCCTTTGTTTCAATTAAGACTTCTTTTTTTCTTATTTAAAATTTATAAATATATTCCAAAAATTACCTATGCACATAACATAGGATTAAACTAGAGCTCACATTTACTCACAAATTCAAACTCAAGTATCGCTGGTCCCCTTTACCTTTGTTGTTATAGACATCGAGGTAATTGGGTGCAGAGAAAATCGTAATGAGCGATGGAAAGCCCGTCGTTTGGCTCTTTCTATACATTCGGTACCTGGAAGAGAGATGGCAGCCGTCTGTCTTCATATTAAAAGAAGGAACTCTGCGGTGCTGCTGGGTTCAGAGTTTTGTTTCGCTTATTATTGCTGTTGTTGTTGGCTGTGCCATGCAGCCAGTGGATCTTACTTCCCCAACCAGGGGTCGAACCCACAGCTCCTGCAGTGGACGCATGGAGTCTTAGCCACTGAACTGCCAGGGAAGTCCTGGTACAGTTTTGCTATAACTTACCCGGCATCTTGGGCTTCATGGGCTCTGATTATTGAGAGCAAATTATTGTTCTGCAGAAATTCACAAACTGCAGGGTAACTGTAAAAGAAAATTAGAAAACAGATTCAGAATGAAGACACTTGTCTTTTAATAGAAGGCAGGGGAAAAATCAAGATGAAATGAGTTGAATATGTTTTAAATTTATAGGTTTTCATTACCACCGAACTTCTAGTAACAGCTTAGCAATCATCACTCTTGTTCTCCCATGTCACTCACACACCTCACTCCAGACCAAGAACGTACGTAACGGACACCCTGGGACAGAAGGGAGCTCCCCTACCTTCTAATTGTTTTCTTTAACCCATAAAACTCATAACAATCATAATACAACGCCAAAACTTTTCTTGGTATCTTGATATTTAAAAAGTATTAATACCACAGCAGTGTGCGTGTGCATGCGCATGTGTGTGTATAGTAGGTACTAGAAACTGAATAGGTGCTTTCTGAATGGCAAATACCCAATAGGAAGAACCAGAGGATACAAAATTATCCCAGAATTATCCAAGGGTTACTTATTTAATTTAGGTTTAATCTTTGTTTCTTATTATGTTCAATAAGTTTTAAAACAGGTTGCACATTCATTCATGTGGTATAAAATGGAAAGATACAAAAAGTTCTACAGTGAAATGTCTCCCTCCAGCCTACCTCTATCTTCCAGTTACCTTGGAATCATCCAATGTCCATGATTTCTTTGAGAGCCCTTCAGAGATACTTTACTCAATTTCAAGCAATTATCACACACACATGCATAGCCCCCTTTAAGAAATGTTATCAGATTGTACACATAGCTTTTTCATAGGTCTTTTTTTTTTTTAACTTTATACTAGTGATTATTCCAATCAGCATATAGAGGATTTGTTTTCTTTTTTTCATTTTTAAAAAACAGACTCATTGCATTGTCTGGTATATTCCTTTGTCGGGATGTACAACCATCTATTTAACTAGTCTTCTATTGAATGTTTAGGTTGTTTAAAATCCTTCAGCATAAACAATGCAGGAAGGAAAACCTTGTACATGCATTTCACACATTTTCAAGTGCAGTGGATCCCCATCACTTGCAGCAGCTGCGTTCTACATACAGTTGCTACAGAACGGAATGACAGAACTCTGTCACTGCTCCGAGGGGGGATACACGGCCGGGTCCAGTGGGCCTCTGCTCACATGTTTTCATAAACCAATCAACACACAGCCTTGTTTTATATGTGTTTCTGGGCAAAGACCCTGATTGAAGATATAGTGTTGACTCATGAACATGGGACTCACGGCCAACAGGGCCATACTTATTCCTGAATGAAACTTATCTAACACACCACAGCCTTCTGGCACATAAGAACACTATATAGCACTTCAGTTCTATGCTTGGGGGTGATTTTAAACAGCAAAACATCAACAAAAACGTGGGAAATGTTTCACTAAATAGAGCACAGAAAAAATACTTGCTTACAGGGTGAGAGCTGAAATAAGAAGGCAGAGCAACTGTGCCTTCAACCTCAGTGGGAACATGCAACGGGTGACCCACATTTTCCATTGCTCTGTACACACAAATGTCTGTGAGTGACTGGGACTGCTGTGAGTACTGACTCTGGGGTTACAAATAAAAACAAGCAGGCAGATTTGCAAAGCAGAATTCGTGAATAATGAGGATCCAAGATCATGAATGATAATAGCCACAGGATTACATTTTAGAAGTAGAAATTCTGGAATAAAGGCCAAGGCCACTTATAATTGAGAAATATTGGCAAGCTGACGGTCACAGAAACTGTACCAATTTATATTCTCCTAAAGATAAAAAGCTTTATGCTCTTTATTTTAAGCAATGTAAAGAGAAGTAAAATTTAAATGATTCCATCATATTAGTCACTGCCAAAGGTGGCAGAATAGAATGAAAAAGTTACTTAGAAGAATGTTAAAACTATGGGAAAACTGAGGGGTTTTTTTGTGTGTAGATTTCATTTAATGAATGCATTATCTTAAGCAACTATCAGAGATTTTTAGAGTACTAAATACAGATATGATTTATTGGAATAAAATATTGGGATTTTTTTAAAAGTAGGCTTCAAACTTCCCTGAACCTCCCTAGTTTGGAGTGGCAAAGCACAATAAAAGCTCACATAGGAGATTTAAGACAACAATCAACTTCCAGGAAATGTCCTGGGCTTAGTTCACAATGTCCTGTTCTTTTTATATCTTTGCCAATACCAGCAGTTCCAAAAGCTAGAGAGCTTTTAAAAAAATAACAGGATTCCCTTGTCTCAGGCTTACTGAACCAGAATCTCTGAAAGAAGAACCAAGAAATCTTTATTTTTCAAGAAGTCAATAGTGGATGTTTGGGAACAAATAATCCAGATCACGTAGAGTCAGACAACAACACTTGAGCACTACAAGATGTTGTGTTCAATTGTGTTTGGTATATCACACTTATTAGGGCATAACACCTAATAAAGTATAGAAAACAAGCAAAGGAAGAAAAGCATTTTCTTCCTTTTATTAATCAAAAAATTAAGTAGAAGTCCCTGAATGACACAGATTCAAGGTACCAAATATGCAGTTAAAAATATTTTGATAAAGTATATTACAACTTCCTCTTCTCATTTTCTGAGGATTCAGTTTAGTTCAGTTGCTCAGTCTGTGCAACCTTTTGTGACTCCATGGACTGCAGCACGCCAAGCTGCCCTGTCCCTCACCAACCCCCAGAGCCTGCTCAAACTCTTGTTCATCAAGTCGGTGATGACATTCAACCATCTCATCCTCTGTCGTCCCCTTCTCCTCCTGCCTTCAATCTTTCCCAGCATCAGGGGTTTTTCCAATGAGTCAGTTCTTCGAATTAGGTGGCCAAAGTATTGAGCTTCAGCTTCAGTATCAGTCCTTCCAATGAATATTCAGGACTGATTTCCTTTAGAATTGACTGGTTTGATCTCCTTGCAGTCCAAGGGACTCTCAAGAGTCTTCTCCAACACCATAGTTCAAAAGCATCAATTTTTCAGTGCTCAGCTTTCTTTATAGTCCAACTCTCACATCCATACATGACTACTGGAAAAATCATAGCTTTGACTACATGGACCTTTGTTGGCAAAGTAATGTCTCTGCTTTTTAATATGCTGTCTAGGTTTATCATAGCTTTTCTTCCAAAAAGCAAGTGTCTTTTAATTTCATGGCTGCAGTCACCATCTGCAGTGATTTTGGAGCCCAAGAAAATAAAGTCTCTCACTGTTTCCATTATTTCCCCATCTAATCTTAACTGAGGATTAGCTTACCTGTAAAAATAAGAGCACCCTCGGACAGTGTTGTGGGTATAGTGTTCCAAGGTCTTTTCACTGCCATAATCCTCGGAGGGATCAGACCAAAGCAGGTCACACACTGGCCCAAAGGCTGGAGGTTCTTTAAACCTGTCTAACTAGAAGACACGCAAAAGCCAAAAGAAGAGAAATCATGAGAGCAAAAGAGCTTTTGGAAACTGCATGTGCATATTCAGACGCTTCTGTCATGTCCGACTCTTTATGACCCCATGGACTGTAACCCGCCAGGTTCTTCTGTCCATGGGATTTCCCAGCAAGAATACTGGAGTGGGTTGCCATGCCCTCCATCTGGGGATCTTCCCGACCCAGGGACTGAACCCTCGTCTCTTTAGTTTCCTGCACTGCAGATGCATTCTTTACTGCTTAGTCACCGGGGAAGCCCTGGTAGAGGTCAAAAACAGACCCTTCCAATCATAGACTGTATTAGGAGAGTGGGCAGTAACCCCTGAAGAATTTTCCTTTAGGATGAAAATGAACATTTAAAAATTTAGATGCATAGTTTTTAATAGTTTTGGTAATAAATTTTAATTAATATCTATATCCCTATGGTAGAAAAGGATCTCCTTACATCCTCATCTTAAAAGTGGTGCTCATTTAATTTGAATTTGAAGTCCATCACTATAGAAACATACTATTTATGAGAAAGACTCTGTAAAGTTTATTTCAATTGCCTAGGTAAGTCCAGGTTACCATGAGAGCAGCAAGGGTTTTTCAGTGGCTGTTCATTGTTTATCTCATTCCAATGGAGATTTATTTTAAAGAATGCTAGTTCTTGGGGGTGGGGGGTTGCAAAAGGTTTCATCCTTTCCATTCTCTGCAGTGGAGGCATTTCAAAGTTATTAACTGAAGCCTCTAGTCACTGGGGCTTTAGTTAAAAAGCGAAAACAAAGAAACAAAAGAAACCACACCCACCAAGTAACTAGGAGAGCTGAATGCCAAGAAAAGGACTCCTACTGAATGAAAGGGGAGCTTTTTATTAACACAATTGATTTAGAATTATAAAATTTGAGACTCACTATGTAAAACAGTGAAAGTGAAAGTCGCTCAGGGTGTCCAACTCTTTGTGACCCCATGGACTATTTATAGTTCATGGAATTCTCCAGGCCAGAATACTAGAGTGGGTAGCCTTTCCCTTTTCCAGGGATCTTCCCAACCCAGGGACTGAATACCAGGTCTCCCACATTGCAGGCAGATTCTTTACCAGCTGAGCTATCAAGAAAGCCCGAGAATACTGGAGTGGGTACCCTGTCCCTTCTCCAGCAGATCTTCCTGACCAAGGAATTGAACTGGGGTCTCCTGCATAGCAGGCGGATTCTTTACCAGCTGTTTATTTAATAACAAGGCAGCAGAAAAGGCTGTGCATTATTACTACCCTCTTACCCTGAAAATAGTAACTTTAAGTCAGAGAAAATAGTTCTCCAAACAGAAAATTTTTTAGTTTCCGTACCTGTGTAAGAGAGGTAAGAGAATACCTCACTTCATGATTCAGTCTTGGAAGTTTGCGTGACTCTAAAAATTTGTCTGTTTCTTTTAGGTTGCCCTATTTGTTGGTATATAGCTATTCATAATATTCTGTCATGGGGCTTCCCTGCGGTTCAGCGATAAAGAATCTTCCTGCCGATGCAGGAGATGCAGGTTTGCTCCCTGGGTTGGGAAGATTCCCTGGTGGAGAAAATGGCAACACACTCCAGTATTCTTGACTGGCAAATCCCATGGACAGAGGAGCCTAGTGGGCTACAGTCCACAGGGTTGCAGAGAGTCAGACATGACTTGGCCACTAAACAAGAGAATACAAAGGCAGAGGAGAGAAGACGATGATGCAGGACAATATAATTGAAAAAAGACTGACCGCCTTTTTTCGATCGTGAAGATACACAATCCCTGAAAATCATGATTACCAACTAAGGCAAGTATAGCAATTAAACTCTATCATCTAAAAAGCCAAAGTCAATGAATTTCACAGCTGAAGAGTCCTCAGCCCATCCATTTCAACTTCCTCATTTTACAGAGAAGAAAATCTAAGAGGTTAAGTGATTTGCTATGGGTTACACAATTAATGGGGGCTTCCCTGGAGGCTCAGATGGTAAAGAATCTGCCTGAGATGTAGGTAAACCAGGTTCAATCCATGGGTCAGGAAGATCCCCTGGAGTAGGGAATGGCAACCCACTCCAGTATTCTTGCCTGGAGAATTCCATGAACAGAGAAACCTGTCGAGCTACAGTCCATTGGGTCACAGTCAGACACAACTGAGTGACTAACACTTTCACTTCCTATCACATAATTAATGGCAGAACAGGGATCAGAACCCTGGTTTTCTTCCTTCCTTCAGTTTGGTCACTCAGTCATGTCTGACTCTTTGTGACCGCATGGACTGCAAACGCACGTCCATCGAGTCTGTGATGCCATCCAACAATCTTATCTTCTGTCATCCCTTCTTTCCTTATTGCAATATAATTTAAAGTTTCAGGACTATACTCAAAATATGTTTCTAGTTTGTAAAAGCCAGATTTTGTTAAAAATTAGACATTTACTGGAAGATATACAGGAAAGATGTTAACAGAAGCTATTGCCCAATAAAAGATCACTGGTGATTTGTTTTTCTTACTTTTATTTATCCATATTTAAATTTTTCAGCAATAAAGACATATTAGTTAACTGCAATAAAAAACAAAATTAAAAGCATATTTACTCCAAGAGACTAATGAATGCTTACTTACTTTCCGAATGTCATCTAAACAAGTAATTTCAGGTGACATTCCTCCATGTACACAGAGAAACTGCTGGTTTAAGAGGGCAGCAAGAGGAAGACAGTCAAATGTTTCCATACATGCATCATACACCTGTTCAGAGTATTTGATTCGACCTATTAAAGGGAAAACAAAGGAGGAGAAACAGATTTTATCATACCTGACAAAGGATACAGGCCCAATGATTATAAAGCTCCTCCAAAGCCATTCAATGCAGGCAAATTCAAAAACAATCATCTTTGTAAAGATATTTCTGAAAAGTTGTGGATAAAGGGTAGACAAAATCTCCATGTTTTTCTAAAGACAAGTGTGACCTTGGATTAAGTTTCTAGTTCTGTTGCCCTGGAAACCTGATAAAGTGAATGCAATCACCTGTGTCATTAGGCAATGATGTTTATGGTGAAAACTACCTCATCACCTCAGTGCTCAGTTGCTAAGTCATGTCTGACTCTTTCTGACCCCATGGTCTACACCTGCCAGGCTCTTCTGTCCACGGGATTTCCCGGCAAGAATACTGGAGTCGGCTGCCATTTCTTTCTCCAGGGGATCCTCCAGACCCAGGGATCAAACCCACGTTTCCCGCATTGGCAGGTGGGTTCTTTACCACGGCAGCACCTGAGAAACCCTCCTAATTACCTGGTGGAAGTTACAGCTTTGGGCAGCTCTGAGCACGGGGACTCGTGAGGTATGTCCCTGGTGGGACCCTGAAAGCTACGCCAATAAAGCTTTGACAAGTGATACTGGCACCTGGGATGCGCGAGGTTTCTAAGGCAGGTTGTTCCCTCATCTGTCCAGTGTGGATACTGTTTCCTCGCACCTGAGCTGTAACTAGGAGTAGACTGGGGAAAGGGAAGGCAAAAGGCAAGAAACCTCTGGACTGAGGCGTGGACTCTGCATCCCAAGAGGACTCCTCCGTGAAAATGGATACCTGGCGCTGCCTCCTGGGTTGTGCTCTTTAGGATGGATGCCAAGCACCCATGGCCCATGGTCGCTCGTGAGTCTGAGTATTTTGTTGGTTCTAAAAAGCCTTCCTGGTGGTGTTGAAAATATATAAATAGAAACTGAAATTTTAGGAGTCATCAATAAAATGTCAATAATATTTCTGCTCAGGATTTTTAAGGTCTTTAAGCAAATTATGTCCTATGCTCTTTTAGGTAAAAACGTTCATCTTAGTGAACTGTATTTTAATGTGCTGGTTGTTTTTGAGGCTACAGAACAGCAACAAAAATACTCCAGTGGGCTGAGAGTTACCTAGTCATGATGTATAATAGTTGAGGTCATGAAAGAACAGGTAATAGTTGAGAAGTTGGAAGAGGACTTCCCTGGTGGCTCAGATGGTAAAGAATCCTCCTGCAATGCAGAAGACGCAGGTTCAGTCCCTGGGTCGGGAAGATCCCCTGGAGAAGGAAATAGTAACCCACTCCAGTATTCTTGCCTGGAGAATTCCCTGGACAGAGGAGCCTGGTGGGCTACAGTCCATGGGCTTGCAAAGAGTTGGACATGACTGAGCAACTAAACAATAACAAGCTGGAAGATGGCTTTAGTTTAAAGAGAGAGGGAACATCTTTTTCTTTGGCCTTGGATTCAAAAACCCAATATTCTAGGAGGTGCACACTGGTAGACACGGCCAGAAGTCGTACAGGCAGGCAGCCCTGCAGAACTGTGAGGTCCTCCTCCTCTTCCACGATTTCATGAAGATGACAGAAAGCCTACAAGGGCCCAGACAGCGATGCTACAGCGAGTGAGTCAGACTGTCCAGTTTAATGATTTCTGGGTTTACTGCCTTCCTCTCATCTCCATGCTTTTAAAAGTGTCAGAGTTCAAGTATCACAGCCTGGTCCTGGCAAGGCTTTGGGGAATAAAATGAAGGGTGATGGGTCCGGATGTGGGTCAGAGTGCAATTCCTGGATAGCAGGAACGACTGGGCAGAGATTCCTGAAGGGAAGGTGTAAACCAGTGGACCACTCTTCATCCCCGAGGGCGGACACTGTCTCTTTACTGCCAATACTGATTAGGATTTGAGGACGTTAAGGGAGTCTGTGGGTTCCTTTAGAAACTTTTAAATAATTCTGTATTACCACAAAGGCAATTAAAATCTATTTCACAATATATGCTGACTCTATTACAACATCCAAGTTAATAAGAGCCATGTCTTCTACATCTTTGTATCTGCTTGCAATTACATCCTCCTATTCTCCTTTGCATTTGAATACTACTACACCTTTGGCTATTTCACAAGTAGACCCAGTAATATCCATAAAAAGTTCTGAAGGGAAAAAAGGCAAGGGGAAAAAAAAAGCCTTTCATTTGTGCCCAGTGATTTACTTTTTCTCTTGTAAATCCATGGAGCCAGAGTTCCCCTTGTTGCCAACCATCAATAAGCAAGTCCTTTCTAAGAGCCCTGGGGTGCGTGCAGGCAGGACTTTAATGCTTATTAGTTCATGCTCCAAACACCATTTTACACCGATTAACTGCCTTTCAACCCTAAGAACGACTCAGAACAATTCCTTAGCCTATTTCCAGAAGAATGCCAAGTCTGAAGAAAGAAGTACAGTGTCTTAACCCATTTTGTAAATTGAAAGAGGAAGTCACAGAATCAAACTAAGCACACAACCAAAATATGAGTTACAGAATGTTATAATTTTTATGTTCTCAAAGTTTTGAGTAGATACATAAACACCAATTCTTCTTTTCTGAGGGGTAAGACTGCAGATGACTTAGTTTAACTGCATTTTCTATGATGGATATATAATTTCTGTATAGTAATAGTTATTATTATATTATCTTTATTATTAAAATTTGTTGAAGGGTCACAATGTTCCTGTGCCATCCTAAACACAGTGGAGTGGAGTCTGGAACCTGACTGCCTGGACTTGAACTTCAGCCCCACCACTTACAAGCAATAGTACTTTGGACAAATTCCTTAACTCTGTCTTCATTTTCTCATCTATAACATGGACCTAATAATAATGCCCACCTACATCACAAGGTTGCTATGAGGATCAAGTGAATTCACATATGTAAAATGCTTTGAAACATGTGTGGCACAAAGTCGGTACTATGTAAGTTTGTTTTTTTTTTAAATATTTACTTACTTATTTGGCCACACCAGGTCTTAGTTACAGCATGCAGGCTATTTGAGCTTCATTGTGGCATGCAGGATCTTTAGCTATGGCATGCAGGATCTAGTTCCCTGATTGAACCCAGGCCCCTGTGCATTGGGAGCACAGAGTCTCAGACCCTGAACCACCAGGAAAGTCCCAGTAAGTGTTAACCAATAAAATTACCTTATCTTATCCTCAGAGAAACTCTATCAAGTAGGTACTATCACTGACTTCATTAAAAAGTTCAGGAAACTGGGCTCACTTGTCCAAAGCTGCAACTAGTAAGTAAGGGAACTAGAACTTGAACCTGTTCATGCTCTTAACATGATGCCATACTCCTCCCAGTCTTTATTTTTTAAGTTAAATATTTAGTAGGAGAATCTAAAGAGACAAATATATAGTTACTGAAGGTTAAACCAGCTGACTTGAGTGTTTTATATTCATGATAAATTGTAAGGAACGTCCCATAATGAAGCAAACGTGCACCCCGGTCACAGGATCACACTGATAACAAGTTCTAACCAGCATCAATAACAGAACATGAACAAAACAAAATTCTCACCAATGTTCTTTCAAAGCAATTTTGAGAGTCAACACTATTTGCAAAAAACCATGAATTGCTCTAAACAGTGGTTATATATATTTAATTTTTATTTGCTTTCAGTTTTTTTTTAAAAAGGTAATAGGTTAAAAAAAAAGTTTCAAAATTAGTGTCTCTTGTCCCTCCTTTAGGCAACTAGTTTTCTGGGTGTCTTTGTAAGATATTTGATGCACATACACACAAATATGTGTATTTCCCTTTCACAATAGCCTTTTGTTTTTTACATAAATGTAGCATATCTACTTCGGAGAAGGCAATGGCAACCCACTCCAGTACTCTTGCCTGGAAAATCCCATGGACGGAGGAGCCTGGTGGGCTGCAGTCCATGGGGTCGCAGAGAGTCAGACACGGCTGAGCGACTTCCCTTTCACTTTTCACTTTCATGCATTGGAGAAGGAAATGGCAACCCACTCCAGTGTTCTTGCCTGGAGAATCCCAGGGACGGGGGAGCCTGGAGGGCTGCCGTCTATGGGGTCGCAGAGTCGGACACGACTGAAGTGACTTAGCAGCAGCAGCAGCATATCTACACTGTTTTCACTTGCTTTTTGGACCTTTTTTTTCTGGTTGTAACGTGTAGCATGTTGTATCTTAGTTCTCTGACCAGGGATGGAACTCAGCCTCTTGGCAGTGAAAAGCATGGAGTCCTAACCACTGGACCATCAGGGAATTCCTGCTTTTTGGACTTAAAAACATACTCTGGAGATCACGCCACATCATTACATGAAGAGCTTTGTAATTTTTAAATACCTACATAATATTTCACTTTATGGATATAAAACAATCTAAGGACACCAATCTCTTGCTACTGTAAATAATGCTTATAAGTAATGAACAATGGCAAACAATATTTGTTTATTAAAAATAATCAACTTGTCATAACAATACTATTTTCATTAGCAAAATTATAGGAGTTTCTGGAACATCCTGAAATTTTAGTAATGTTTAACTATACATCAAAAAAGGGCCCCTGGAAAAAAGAAATTAATTTACTTTAGAAATGTGAACCCAGAGCTATGAGATGGAATCAAAAAACCACTAGGTTATTTGCTTTCTAAATATTATAGCAATAAAGAAATGTTTTTGCAAAGATAAATAATATGTCAAAAATTAACTGTTATACTTTGCTAATCAAATTATCTCTGAAAAACTTATCTCTGGATTTGAAAGAAACTTAAAAAATATCTGCAATATAAAGTACTTTAAAACCTGATATAATAAAAGCCTCCACCTGCCCCTTTTGGAAATATTAACAAGACTGCAGCTGCAAAATTTGGAACTAAGCATCACTTGGCAGTAATTATAAGTGCTGATTCTAAATGCCACGGTGTCTCTATAAGAAAGATCAGCTTATCAGTAAAAACACTTGTGCAAAGCAGCACACATGCTCTTTCCTTATATAGGAAAAAATTTT